ACTATGGACAATTTTCTATGGAAATAGATTTCTTTCTACTGTTTCCAATTAAGATCTGTCTTGTGGGATTCAGCTTCAAAGTTCGCATTTTCTCCTTGTGGATGCTGGAAACATTGTGTTACAATTAGTATCTGGACAGCAAAAGCCCCAACTGCATCTAGCTGGGTCCTCACCGGCGAAGGACAGTTGGACATCAGAGATGGCACTATTTGGTTAGGGAGGCTGGACGAACCAGTGCATTCAGGCAAAGACAAAAAGTTGTCTTACTAGCACTTCTTTTTGGCCTGAATTACTCTGGATGGTTAACTCAGTACTTTATTTCATCTTGTGTTTCTAGGCGCACTTTTTGAGAAAGAAAATAAAAGAAGTGCCAAAATTAAATTCACAGAACGTGTCACTATATAGGGCCCCTTTCAAGATTTAAGACGGAGAGCACTGGAGATCCTGGAAGAATGCAACTGCTGGGGAGGACTCTTACTTTAAAGACAAGGATTTGGAGGTCCAGAGGGACTGAGTGACTTGCCCAGAGCCCTCAGCTTGCTCCAGACGGGGCCAGCGAGAGTTGTGACTCTTCGTCCCTTCTTTTGCTCTACCACATCACAAGGGCTGTTGAGTTAGAAGGAATTTTGAACTTGAAACATAACACATCAGAGGTAATGTCATAGAAAGACATCATCAGGTCAACGTGATTGGCAGCTGAACAAGCCTCAGCTGTGAAGTTTGAAGAAATAAGTCCAAAAAGAGATCATCTAAAAGATACCTGTTTCAAGAGAATGCATCCATCGTCTAAGGACAGGGTGGTTATAACTTCTTTCTAAAAGGATATCTGTTGAAGAGACTACACAATTAAAGAGCTTGAACTCTGGAGTCAGACCAGACCTGGAGTCAGCTCTGACCCTCTCTCATCCTACCTTTGGACAATCTCCCAAACCCTCAAGCCTCAGTGTCTACATCTATAAAATGAGCAGAGTCTTAGTATCTACCTCACAGGGCTGTTGTGAAGGTTAAATAAAATGAAATACATATAAAGCATTTAGTCTCATAAGCCTGGTGCCTGATACATTACACATGCCTCATAGATGTTCACTGTCATTACAGTCCTACTTATTGATTTACAGGGTGACCAAATTCTTTCATTCACTTCATGAATATTTTTTGAGCTTCTCTGTGCTAGGCACAGAGGATAAAAGAGTGTACACGATGCAGCATTTGTTTTTAAAAATAAAAACAGATGGTTACAAGGCAGTGGAAGGGCTAAGTGGAACCCCCAAGGAGGAATACTTGGCTTGTTCTGGGAGGGTTTAAGGCTTTCTTTCCAGGACAAGGTGAAGTCTGAATAAGTAGCAGTTGACTAGTTAAAAGTGGTGGGAAGGGAGTGGGGGGAGGGGAGTAGAGTGGAAAATAGGGGAAGCGGTCCAGCCTGGAGGGTGACAAATAAATGTGAGAGATGGTAGCTGGCGATATGTACTGAGTCCCAGCTGCCTTGTTGATGGTGCTTTTAATATGCATTTTGAAAAATTACCGTTTCAATGAATACATTTAATAGTTTTAATAAATATGTAGATTAAAGGCAGCTGTCAGGTTAAAATGTATCCTGTAAGTGATGTGTTCCTAGTTTTGGATTGACGGTGTGATTCGAGAGTGAGCCACAGAGAACTGCAAATGGGTTCATTTTAAGGATCAAAGTTGCACCAAGAAAAACAAGAAGGTTCACCAAAAAGAAAGAGAGAGACAGGTGGAGGGAGGGAGGGAGGAATGGAGGAAGGAAGGAAGGAAGAAAGCAAGCAAGCAAGCAAGCAAGCAAGCAAGCCCTTGTGCACTGTTGGTGGGAATGTAAATTGGTGCACGCTGTGGAAAACAGTGTGGAGGATCCTCAGAAAGTTAAAAATAGAACTGCCATATGATCCAGCAATTCCACTTCTGGGTATTTATCTGAAGAAAACAAAAACACTAATTTGAAGAGATATACGCACCCCTATGTTCATTGCAGCATTATCTAAAATAGCCAAGATATGGAAGCAACCTAAGTGCCCATTGATAAATGAATGGATAAAGAAGATGTGGTGTGTATATATATATACACACACATACATACAATGGAATATTACTCAGCCACAAAAAAGAATGGAATCTTGCCATGTTCAACAACATGGAGGGATCTGGAGGGTATTATACTAAGTGAAATAAGTCAGACAGAGAAAGACAAATAAGATTTCACGTATATGTGGAATCTAAAAAAACAAAAACAAATGAACAAGCAAAATAAAACAGAAAGAGACTCATAGATACAGGAAACAAATGGGTAGTCACCAGAGGGTGGGGAGGCAGGTGAAACAGGTGAAGGGGATTAAAAGGTACAGACTGTGCAGACTTCCAGTTATAAAATTAATGTCATGGGATGTAATGTACAGCATAGGGAATATAGTCAATAATATTGTAATAACTTTGTATGGTGACAGATGGTTACTAGACTCCTGTGGTGATCATTTCATGATGTGTATAAATATTGAATCACTATGATGGACATCTGAAACTAATAGGATATTTTATGTCAATTATACTTCAATTAAAAAAAGAAGGAAGAAAGAAAGGAAGGAGGGAGGAGAGAGAAAGAAAGGAAGGAAGGAAAGAAAAGAAAAGAAAGGCTGTTCTTTGGAAGTGAGAGAGAGTCTCAGAAACTGTTTTCGTTTTCTGCATTATTTGTTTTGAGTGTTTTTCAGTGTTCTTTTAGTTTTGTAATAAACTCTGCAGAGTTGGTACTCAAATTCCTAGTAATGCTTGTGGGATTAGTGGGAATTAGGGGAAATAGTGGGAATGCGATCACATTATAGGTTTCTGACTCTCAGGGGCTATCTTTCAAAGCCCTGAGGAGTCTGGTGAAAAACAAGCAGAATCAACAAAATCCTGCTCAAGGGGAACTGACTTTCAGAGGCCTGTTTTTGCCTTTCAGAGTCATTAGGGCAAAGTTCTAAAGCTTGACTATCTTTCAGGTATGTTTAAATGATTTCAATCTTGTATTCAGTAAGCATATCTCACTAGAGATAAATAGATTTTTTAAATTACTAATGGCTTTCTTTCAGTGAATGCAAGATACTGTGTTGAATGTCCCTAAATTTAGAGATGTTAAAATTATTCATAGTCTAAATGATTCTCCAAAGTTGGGAACTTCCAGATGGCAAAGGGGAAGGATTCTGCATATGAACAGAGCACAAGATGAGCTGACATCTCATAGAACATCCCCTCTGCAGGGACTTCTGGACCCCCCAGGGAGGCTGTCTCCCTCCTTCTTCCAGTCCTCACTGCTGCCTACACATCTCCCTACTGCAGGCGCTATGTTGAGACGATTCGTTACCTGTCTGTCTCCACACCAGACTGTTGAATCCCCCCTGGTGCTTTTTAGCTACTCTTAGCATCTAAAACATTGTCTGTCACAAAATGGACAGTCAAGGAAAATGTGTTAGTGTGTTGAATAAATGATCGACTCCTGACAATGACTATCATCTGAGTAAACTTACTCCCTTGTGAGGTTTGTCTAGCAGTCTTGGTCCTATCTCTAGCTTGATCTAAGACCAATGAATAAAATAACAACGTCAGTGGAAGTTATGCTTAGACACACCTTTTGTCTGATCACCAAGATTTCATGCTGTTGAACCATAGCCAATATTTAATAAATATTGTCACTCATCATCTCTCTCCTTTATCCAACTAAAATTGATGCATTGAATTTTTTTCAATCCAAAAAGTCGGCATCAGCATTTTCAGTCTCGCATTCAGGAACTTTTCACAATGTGATTCACGTTTTGGTCTCCTTGGAATGTTGTGGCTCCAACTGTGAAGATCTATATCACCAAGGCTGCTCCAACCTTAACATCCGAGTAACAAGGTGGCAGGCAGGTCAGGACCAGCGTCACATCGTGAAGTGGCAGAGGGGGTTGACTTCAGGTCAAGGAATTCACCTGAGAATGCCAGGGCTTTGATTTGCATCTCTAAGCAGACTGGTGCAGAAGCAAACGAGAGCTGACTGTCAGGGAGAGGCAGTGGTCATAAAACAAGGCAGACGTAGGTTCTCAGTGCTGAAAGGTATCACAAAGGCCATCCAAGTGAGGATCTCCTCTACAACCTCACAGAGTAGTGCCTGTGATGAGTGGTCTGATAGCCAGCGAGAGGAGCCCAGAGACTCAGGACTAAGGCTAGCCCTTTAAAGGGTAAACAGCTGATCAGAAATCAGTGCCTCTAGACAGAGACCTTGACTTTTGAAGTAAACTTCTGTCCCAAGGAGAAGCTTCTTAAAATTTTCACCTAAAGTAGAAACTAAGCTTACAGCTTGGTCTGCTCTGGGCCTCAGGAATGGTGGAAGTGGTAGACCCTGAATAAGACTGAAGTGTGAGTGGCAAAGAACAGACCTGGTCAGTGTGGATAGTCACGGGGCTCACACCCCCTGAGTCTGAGATGGGAGGACTTTGTGGGAGAGGACAATACCATCAATAATTACAAATGATCAGAGACTGCAAATTATTAGGGAGCACACTCTGTTAGACAAGAACGGAAGCATTCAGTGGAGAGAAGATAATTTAATCAGCCAAGATTCTAGACACAGGCAGTTCAACTGACCAAAAAGATGAGGGACTGTTAAAAGCATCTGGAAGACTGATAATCAATAATAGCTGGCACTTATTGAGAGCTCACTACGTTTCAAGCACTTTACATATATCATCTCGTTCAGTCCTCACAACAGTTCTCTAAGGGACATATCATTGCCCTGATTTTACACGTGAAGACGTGAGATTCAGAGAGGTTAAGCAACTTGCCCAATGTCACCCAGATGATGAACGGTGGCATAACTGAAATTCAAATTCAGGAGTGCATGACTGCAAAGCTTTTGCTCTGACCTCTGAGCTAGTGACACTGAGCAACTATGCTGTGATCTAGTTTTGCCATGAACAGTTCCTAGATAGGCCACCACCTTTTGATCCATGTCTACTACTTATTGCTTTCCACAGCTGAGAGTCCACGGTGTGATAGAAGCAGCCTCTCCTGCAGGTACAGCTTGCTGTAGTCAGATGCATATTCTACCGTCAATCCAACACCAAACAAAGGTACGTGTACATGTGAGGGATCTGCTTCCTGACCATATTGGCAGGCAAGATCAGGTCAATAAACAGTTTTATTGAAATAGCAACTTTGTTGAAAGATAGCCAACAGAATAGCAAGATATTAGTAGCTGCACTTTAATCATTTTGAATGTACCAACCCAAATCTACATTCATAAGTGCTCAGCAAACACACAAAACTGAGATCCAGCTCTCTGTGTTGCAAATAATCAAAAAAAAAAAAAAAATCAAGTCACTATAACAGAAGATCCAGAAACTGAATAAATGGTTGCCAAAGGAGATTTCAACTAAATGAATCTCCATTCTTGAAAGGAGGTTAGGAAATAAGATTAATAATATTTACACATTCTTGAGATAGTCTTTGCTTGGCGTGTTTTCTTAAGAACCAGTGCAACTTCACCTTATCAAGAAGATTATAAAGTACTGTTAAAGTGGGTGAAAATTGTTTCAAGTGATTTTTAGCAACAGTAAATTTTGCTAATTTATAAAAATATAAATAAAGAAACTAAGAGGAAGAAAGGACTGCTTTTGTGCTCAAAATGTTCAGAAAAATTCTGACTTAAAAACATCTCAAAGAGGGGCCAGCCCCGTGGCCGAGTGGTTAAGTTCTGGTGTTCTGCTTTAGCGGCCCAGGGTTTCACCAGTTCAGATCTTGGGCGCAGACATGGCACCACTCATCAGGCCATGCTGAGGCAGCATCCCACACTGCACAACCAGAGGCACTCACAACTAGAATACACAACTATGTACTGGGGGGCTTTGGGGGGGGAGGGGGAGGGGAAGGGGAAGAGGAAGAGGAAGAAGAAAAAGAAGATTGGCAACAGATGTTAGCTCAGGTGCCAATCTAAAAGAAGACAAACAAAATTTCAAGGAGAAAGTCTGTCTCTCTCTTACACACACACATGCATATACACACAGACTCTTTCAAACATTCTCATTTTTGGGATATGAGTTAAAATCTGAAATAATACACATTTAATTAGTGAAACTTTTAAGACTATCCTCTACCCAGCTTACAGTTTTATAGGTTACATAGAACTAAAACTACGTTCAGGGCTAAAGATAAAAGCAATTGGAATTTAAATTTGATTGTTAGAAAAAAGTCAGTGCATATATAAAGACCAACAAAGTCCTCCTAATGTGCACCCCAATTTTCAAGTTCACTCTCCAGAAAGAGAAGATCAGAGTATTCACCACGAAGAATCGAATGGATCTCAACCACCTTGGAGAACAACAGGGGGAAGCTGATGAGAACACTCCGTTTTGGCAGCCCACAGCAGCCACCTGAGGTTCTCTGGTTCTCATCACATCCCCCGCCCAGCAAAGAGACCAGAGCATGGCTGTCTGCAGACATGTGGTACCCACTTCCCACAAACACCAAAGTGAGACCTGCTGCTTAGACAACACAGATAAGGTTAAAATCAAACCCTTGAGGTCAGCCAGCCATCAGTGAGTCCTAGTTCTGACCCTGATCACCTGTGGGACCTTGAGCAAGCTACTTAACTTCTCAGAGCCTCAATTTCCTCATCTGTAAAATGGGAATAACCTACTCACAAAGCAGTCAGCAGACTTTCTACTCACTTATGTGCTCAATGAATGTTAGCTAGCTATTCTTATTACTTCCAGGAGACAAGAGCCTAGAAGGGTGTGTGTTTGACTCTCGTTTGTATTTTCCATACTTAACAAAGTGCCTTGCCCAGAGATGCGACTGAGTGCAGTTTTTACTAAATGAATTCTGGCTGCCCTCTGTAGCTGGCTGGTGGTAACTATAGACACAGTTTAGGATGGACCTGAGTATGGAAAGGAACGGGATTGGTGAAGGCCAGTTTGTCCTCACTGACCTACGTTATCAATGGGTTGGGGTTTGCTTTCTCTCTGGAAGATGCCTCATTTCCTTTCTATGGATTCCCTTTGTAGTTGCTCAGCACTTCTCTGACTCATGATAATAAATTCCAGATTCTCCAAGTTGGGTCTTGTGTGTCTTTGCATCCAACTCCTCACCAGCTTCAATGGCCCATGAGCAATTAACTGTGACACTCTCCCTCTCCCCACTTTCTTCTCTAACCTCCTCTTACGATAAATCTACCAAACATAGCTGGGTGTTTGGTAATTCAAAATCTGAAGAGTTTCTTGCATATACACATACCTTTTTAAAAAGCCAAACTGCAAAACAATTTGCACAAACTAACTTTTATTTCCAAATTTCCTTTCATTGAGCTCCATTTTTGCATTGCTCCTCTACTCAAAAGCTAGTCCTCTCCAGTCATTACAGAAGTTAGATTTCTGGTAAAATCCTTACATGTTTCACTTAGAAAATGAGACATGAGAAACACTTCTGAGGTAGTACAAGTTTCATTTAGGGCCCAAAACTGAGGCACCCAGTTTATTCTCTCTTAAAAACCCATCTTCTTTTTCCTTAGATGACCTTCCTCGTCCTCTAGGAGTTAATCTCAATGCCATTTCTTCCTGGAGGCCTTCCCTGATGCCTCTAGACCCACTTTAATACAAAAATCATAACTGCTAAGAGTGCCGTGCATGTCTTAGGCTGTTTACATGCATTATCTCATTTAATCCTCAAACTAATCTGAGGGGGTAAGATACTATTATAATCTCTATTTTGCACTTGAAAAAGCTGAGTACAGGGCAGGAAAGTGAGATGGCAGAACTGGCATTCAAACACAGGCAATGTAACCTCAGAGCCTCGCTGCTAACCACTACACTATCCTGCCTCCCAAAGTACTATTTGCTCACAAAGCACTCTCTGCTTTTCCTATTACAGCACTTGTAGGTAAGGTTAGTGGATTGCCTGCCCAGTAGCCATCCTTTGTTCCCTGCACAACAACTTTCTATTTCAACCTGGTTACACTGTTTGCATCCCTGGACCCAGGGCTGAAATACATAATGTAAGCTAAACCAGTCAACAGATCCCCTCCCATTGTTCATAGTGATGGTGTAGGGTAGGCACATGCCCTTTGTTGGTCCAATCAGAACGAATCTTGAGACTTTTGCTGGGATGCTGGGAATGCCAGGACACAGACTCATTCTTCCCCACCATATGTGAATGCTGTAGCCTGCAGCTTTAGGAGTTGCTTGGAGCCGTCTTGGGATTTTAAGAGGATTCTGACAACAAAAGAGCCGACTTCACTGAGGCAATGCTGAGAAATGAAGAGACAGAAGTGCTGGGTCTGATCACATGGTTTGAAATGCCTCCATCAAATCTTGATAAAGCCAGCCTCCCTCTGAACTTCTCAGGCGTCTGTAAATTTCCTTTCTTGTTAACCCAGTTGGAGTTGAGTGCTCTGTTGGCTGCATTCAAAAGCTTCTTAACTCATCAGCACTTATACATGGTATTTTTCTTCCCTGTTTAATTGTTTCTTTCCCCCAACAAACAAGCTGAGATCTTTGAGAGCAGAAACTGCTCTAACTTGTCACTATTGTGTTCCTGGTGCTTGATTCCTAGTAGACACTGCATGAATGTTTGTTGAATGAATAAAATGAACTAATGGCAAATTTTGGTGAGCCATGAGTGACCTGAACAAAACTTTCAGTTTGCTTAGATTTCATGCCATTTACAGGTGCTTGAAATCTCCAACATGAACCTGAAAAGTTTTGAGCAGCCAAGCCAGGTGGAGATTGAAATGAAATTTCTGATTTCCAAAATAGTTCAGTTGTACCCAATTAGCTAACATCTCCATTAAACAGGTTTAAAAAAATTTTTTTTGGTGAGGAAGATTTGTCCCTGAGCTAACATCTGTGCCAATCTTCCTCCATTTTGTATGTGGGACACTGCCTCAGCGTGACTTGAAGAGGCATGTGGAGGTCCACGCCCAGGATCTGAACCTACAGACCCTGGGCTGCTGAAGTGGAGAGTGCAAGCTTAACCCTCACTCCACTGGGCTGGCCCCCTTAAATAAGTTTCTAAATCCTTAAAACAATAATATAAAATCTAAACAGCTGCAAATAAAAGATTCCCATTGGAATAGAATGATAATCAAGTACTTTAAATAAAAATATAAATACTATATTAAAGAATCAGAAGTAATCGTGTCCAAAAAAACTTGGAGTATGGCACCTTTTTACCTGACAGTCTTCTTTTATATTTTGCTTTTAGTCTAAAATAACAGTACTACCACCACCAAACCCAGGGTAAACTAGAAACATTTATTAAAGCAACCATCAATTTTACTGCCGTCATATTTTAGGCATGAAACATCAAAGATTTACTGATATTACCTATAAATAATAATTTACATCTGAATTGTAGTTAAAATATACATTCGAGGCATAACAACAGCAGAATGAAGAGCCTGAAAGGACTCTTAGACTTCATCTAGTCTAACTCTGTCATTTACTAAAGAGAAAACAGAAGACCTAGTGGAAAAAAGACCCCCCTATGTTTCATCCTAACAATTCAAGCAGCATTCATTGGGCTCATGCTGAATGTCGGATTTGATGTTAGATACTGAAAAGTAAAATGATCTCTGCTCTCGAGGAGGTGGGCTCTGGAGCCCTAGGGGCCTGCATGGAGGCTTCTGAAATCTAACAGGTAATGATTAGCACAGAGAAGATAGAGGAAAATAAACAGAAACCCTCCCATTCAAAATATGCCTGCAAACCAAAACTCTCAAAACAGGTGAAGAAAACAAATGTAATAAAGTATAAGGTGTCAGCTATTGCCACAACAATGCTGTACAACAAAACTCAGTAGCTTAAAAACATACCCATTTGCCCTCAAGTACATGGAGCTGCTGGCAGGCTGCCACTCGGCTGGGCTTGGCTGGGCTTGGTTGGACTCTAGGTTCAAGGAACCAGCCTCTGGGCTCCAGGCTCCAGGTTGGTTTCAGGTCTGGTTCATGTGTCTCTCATCCTTCTGGGACTGAATGCTACTAAAGCTGGGTACCAGAGGGTTACTGTAGATATTCAATGAGAACATGCTTGCCTTTCGACCTTGTTCAATATGCTGTTTTCTTGTTTAACTTGAGGGGTGACTCAGAGGTCAGGAGGACATGCGAGCTTGTTTTGCAGAAAAAAGAGAATGCGTTTGGGGAGGTGGCGATCACCAGGTGGCCAGCCCCCAGCAGCCCTTGTGGATTGCCCACGGGCTTATCAGGAGTGACCCCTTTGTTTCTCCAAAGTTTGTCTTGCCAAGACCCTTAGCTCTATAAAACCCTCTGCTTTCTGCTCTTCTTAAGACGGGTTTGAGTGAACCCATGCTCCCACCTTCTCGTTTTGGCCAATTTGAATAAAACTTTCTCCATCTCCAAGCACCAATCTCTCAGTGTTTGGCTTATTGTGCCTTGAGCACAGAAACTTGAGATTAAGAGGCTCGGTATCACTACCTAGGGCATGAGGTTGGCTTCACATTTCCCATTAGGGAGCCCAGGCTGGAAGGACAGCAGTTACCTGGTTCATGTTCCTCTCATGACAGATCATCAGAGAGCAGGAGGGCAAGCACAAGAGCACAGGAATATTTCAAGTCACTTCAAAAATGGCCAAAGCAAGTCATATGGACAAGCCAAAAGTAAAGAGGCAGGCAAGTATACTCCACCTACCATGAGGCCAGAGTAAAAGTGTGAACATATAATTCTATTCCAGGGAAGTGAAGAACCTACACAGACAACAAACAAGACCACCTTTCAGAATAAGAATTCATTCCAGATGAAATTAAATGAATGGGATAATCTTTTTAAAAATCTTTAAACTAAGTAGCTAAACATGCTCAAAAAAGATAAATGAAGGAAAAATCACAGTGATAAAAACAGAATGTGATATTATAAACAAAAACAAGAGAGAAATAAAACAAAAATACATAAATATGAAAAAGAAAATTAGAAATCTTGACACTGAACAATGTATTCATTAAAATTTGTAAAATTCAGTAGAAGAGGTAAACTCTAGATGGACAAAGTAAACTGAAGATAGTAGTGAGGAATTCACCCAGTATCAAACACAGGGAGACAAAAATATAAACAATATGAAAAAGCACTTAACAATATGCAGATAGAGAGGCTCCCACATGCATCAAATAGATATTCCAAAAGAAGGGAATTGATGGAATTTGTGAGGAAGCAATATTCAAAGAGGTAAATGGCTGAGAATTTTCTAGAAGACAAGAAAGATATGAGTTCTGACATTGAAAGTGCATTCCTAATATCAAGCAAGATAAATAAAAATCATTCAATATCTAAATACATTATAATTGAAACCACGGAATCTCAAGGATAAAGAGAAAAATCCTAAAAAGCTGTCAGAAAACACAGAGCAAAGGTAAAGAAATAGCAATTAGATTGATATCGAACTTTTCTTCAGCAACAATACATGTCAGAAGCTAAACTGTTGAGCAATAATAATTGGCAATTTAAAATCTTATACTTTGATAAATGGAGACAGCAAATATGTGGCTTTTCTGCTTCTATAGTGGGAAGAAGGCTGTGCCTCCCTTCAATACTCATGTGGTGGGAAATGACCCAAACATAGTAGGAGAATTCAGGTGCTGGATGCTCCAAAGAGTAACAAGCATCCACCATGATCCTTAACTCCATCAATGAACAAAAGTAAGAAAGTTACAGACGAGTTAGCATTCAATTCAAAAAACTAGAAAAACAACAGAGGAAAACCAAAGACAGGAAAAGGAAGAAAATAACAAAGGTAAGAGTAGAAATAAAATAGAGAAAGGAACAAAATAAAAATATATAGATGAGCAACACCAAAGCTGTTTCTTTGAAATAGGCAAACCTCCAGCAGATAGAAGATACAAATAATATCAGGAACAAGAAGAGATATCAACACAGAGGTGAGATTCTTAAAAAAATCATAAGCGACTACAATGAACTTCAAGCCAGTAAATGTGAAACTCTACACGAAAGGGAAAGGTTTCAAAATAACTAATAAGCAATTGTATATTTATATCCGGAGCACAAAAAAGTCCAGGTAGGAAACAGAGGTCATCAGAAACAGATAGTTATTAATGTCTTGGATGCAGAACTGATGGCAAGATCCTTAGGAATGTCATTATTTGGAAGCATTATTTTGGCATTATTTTTGAAGGAGGAG